AAAAGGGAAGAAAACGGGTTTTTTTTCCCCCCCCCTCCCTAAACCTAAAAACCCCCCAAGCGGGGACACGACCTCTTAAAGTTTTTTTTTTCTCCCCACCCCCTCCTTTTTTTTTTTTTTGGGGCCGTCGCCCAGGCGGGAAGGTCACGAAAACCCAGGCCCAGCGGGTTTTTTTTGGGGGGGGTGTTAATGCGGGAGTGGCTTTCGGGGAAGAACGAAACAAGGGTTTTGCCCTGTGAAAGAAGGGCATGCAACTTGATTGTCTCCTTGATAATCGTTAGTTTTCTTCTCCTGCCTCACAGCGCTGGGGGTCATGGGACCCACCTCATGCACTGGTTTGCAGCACAGAGCCCAGCACACAGGAAGTCCAGTAAGTGCGAGCCTGGAGGTGAAAGAGCAGGTCTGATGGTGCCCAAGTCTAGTTTCAGTTTTGCAAGATGAAGAGAGTTCTGGAGAAGAATGGGGTGATGGTTGCACAATAATGTGAATGTGTTACAGGTGCAAAGTTCGTGCACCCGATGCTTCCAAAGAAAGGCCACTATTCCAACCATTGGCTGCACATTAGAATCACCTGGGAATCTTTTTAAAATCCTGATTTCTGGGCCGCATCCTCTGGAAATTCTGTTTCTTTGTTTGTACTATGTGTGCCCACTCCATACAAAGAAACAGAATTCCGGAGGATGAGGCCCAGTAATCAGGATTTTAAAAAGATTCCCAGGTGATTCTAATGTGCAGCCAAGGTTGAGAACCACTGGCCTAAGGACTGGGTGGAATTCCTAAAATGTGCCAGTGATCAGCTGAGTACTGAATAAATGTACATTTTGTGCTTTATTCTCCATGAATGTATTCTAGGCATCTGAGTACATTGTTTCGAAATCATTTCATAACTCCAGTTGATAAATTCTTTAACTTTTGTTTTTCTTATATTTTAGAAATCTACAATAAATACTCATTTAAACATAATGGCCTTTTGTGACTTCCATGTAAGTGTGCAGAGTTATATATACTCTGTGACTCAGAGTTTGAGGCCCCGGAACAGTATATCAGGAATTGATTGGGTCTTGGTTAGCTTCTTTCCCAGGACCCATAAAGAAATTCTTGGTGCTGTCTTCTGCCGGTTTTCTTCTGTTGGTTATGATTCAGCTTTTCATTTGGCTGTCAGTTTCTCAGAATTCAGTGATCCTACAGCTCTCAGGGGTCTACCTTGGGAGTGTTTCTCCTTGTGCCGGTGTTTGAGGCTAAACACTCTTATTTTTCTTTTTTGTCCTACTTCTCAAAACTACCCCACCTATGATATAGGAAATTTAATGAATGGCAATACATATTTCTTTAACTTTTAATTTTTAATTATTGTAACATAATTTCAGACCGACAGAAAAGTTGCAAGTATAGTACAAAGAATTCCCATATAGCTTTCAGCAGACATCCCAAATATTAGCATTTTACCTGTTACTCATGGGTATACATATCCTCAGAATTACTTGATGCCCCTTTAGTCCTAGGTACCTCAGTCTGTATTTCTTCAAAATAAGGGCATCCCTCTGAAATATCCACAGTACGACGATCAAAATTAGGAAATGTTTGGATCTACAGACAGATCCTCTTTATTACCTCATTATTATGAGGACCAACTGACATTTTTTCAGCCCTTATTTTATTAGATCTCTTTGCTTATTTATTAGCAGCAATCATTCCTTTTCTAAATACTCTACCCCTTTTCTCTCTTACACACTGTCTCTTCTCACTTGCTTCATTGCTTTCATGGACCCCTCTACATCTGTTACTATATATATAATTATTATTTTTAATTAAAGTATAGTTGACAACGCTTTACAATTTTAATTTCCCTAAGATTGTCTCCTTGGTTACTTATGTTTTCAAATACTACCTACATTCTATAGACTTTCTAGTTATCAAGATCTTTGTTTGCTCCAAGATGCAAATCCATAGGGTAATCACCTAATATATATCTCTACTTGGATTTCCAAGATATCTCTAATTCAGTGCTCTAAAAGGAAATTTATATTACATGCGCTAAAACTCTATATTTTCTTTTAAGTAAAGGTAGATATCACTGTCTGTTTTGTAATCAAAGCTAAAAATAATGTCACCATTAATTAGTTCCCCCTCATGCATCCAATCAATATATGTTTGTGTCCTTAGAACACAATGCATGTACTCATTTCTCTCTCCCTCCTCCCCTTCTCTCTTTCTCTTTTCTTCTCCCTACTACACTCCCACTGGCCCGCTTTGGGCTGTTTTCATCTCACAGATAGACTTCTGTCAACACTATCCTAACTAGTTTCCCGCCTCTGGCCTCACCTTCTCAAATTCATTTTCACAGTGAGCAGAGTGTGCAAGACTCAAATCTGATGATAATCCTCTGCTGAAACATTTTAATGGCTCACCATCAACTACAAATCAAAACTCAGCAGACTTCTGAAAAGTAGTATTTTGAGCTTTGTGGGCCAGGTAGTCTGTGCCAGGACTCAAATCTGCCCCTGTAGCGAGAGAGCAGCCACAGATAGTCTGTAAATGAGTGGGTCTGGCTGCATTTCAGTGACACTTTCTTACAGAAACAAGTGATGGCTTGGATTTGGCCTTTTGGCCTCCGGGTCATAGTGGTGAATTTAAGTTTCTAATTAAGGCATTAAGGGAACTCCATGCTCAGACCCCTTCTTCCTTTGCACACCTGAGGTCAGCCATAGTCTTACTTTTCAAGTCTATATGGACCTCTGTCTTTGCTGTTTCAGTGTTTTTTGCAGCTGTCCTTTTTGGTTCTGCCTGATTCACTGGTCATCAATGTCATAGCTATTTTTGTCTTGTATAGCCCTTGCTCCTAGATTATTAATATTTTGAGAGCAGAGTATGACAACTTTGTATGTCATGAACCAAGAGCATGCTCTTTACACAAAATAGAAAATTAGCAGATTTATTTGAATCCACTCATTATTTAAACCGTGTATTTTTTAAAAAATTAGAATATGATGCAGTTCAATTGTTTGTTTTGTTTTAAATTCTTAGAGACAAATAAAAAGTGGTGTGTTTTGGAAGGAGGCTTCCTGAGTTACTATGAAAATGACAAGTCTACCACTCCCAATGGCACCATTAACATCAGTGATGTCATCTGCCTGGCTGTGCACAAAGAGGACTTCTATATAAACACCGGGTAGGTCTGTCACTGCACGGGCAGGAGGTGGAAGCATGTCTGGTATCTGTCATACAGGTAATAAGTGTTCTAAGGACATTTGTTATTTCGGTTCTTCCATTGCTTATTATGGAAGGATTAAGTGGATTCTTGAAGCTGACTCATTTTGCAGCTTCTGAAAGTTCCTTAGGGAATTTACTAAAAAGAGAAAATTAAAATATTGCATTAGGTAATATGAAAGGCTGACATGTTTGCATCTAATCTTAAGTAAATTTATAGTAATTCCTTCATGACATATAGTCCTATAATTTTTATGACATACTCATTATTTAAAGTAGTGGACTAAGGGCAAAATTTATGCATCGGTTTAAGGCACCATGGTTCTAATAGATGACAAAGGAAAATATCTGTTGATGATTTATTCATATTAATATCAGCAAAATACTAAGTATATATAGTAACATATGGAAGTGCTAAATTTCTTAAAGATCTACTTTGACATTTTAATTGTCTCAGAAAGGTTGCAATTCTAAGAGTAAGCATTATTTAATATATCGTCTCACAGATTAGTTAAACAGAAATTTCCATGAGGACTTTTAGAAACAGCATCAAAGATCTTTGTTGTGGAAGTTACTCATCACATTTTGTGATGAAATTAATGAGAAAATACAAAAAACAAATCTGCAAAAGTTAACTATAAAGGAGCATAGTATTTAATGAAAATTCTGTATAAAAAAAAAGAGATTTGCAAAGCTTTTTCCATTATATGATATTACATGAAACATTAAGTAATGATCAATATATTCTAGTTGAGGTGACTGTTGTTTTCTAATAAATCTAGTTTGATTTTTTATGCAAACAAATTTGATTATTAGTTGATTTGTTTTTATTTTAATTTAACAGAGCTTTTATCCTAAGTGAATTATCAGTTTACTGCGTCTTATTGTGGAATGTTAAAATAAGTGCATTCAGTGCATTAAGATACTTAATTAGTAAATAAAATATAATTTAAAATAATATGAGTTTATGTCAGCATATAGTTATTTAAAAATAAAACATTCTTGGTAGAGTGATATTGATACAAATAGATGTTCAGGAGAAAGCAGCCAGATTCTGAATTGCTGTAAGTAGCATATTACAGAGTTTGAACTCAGTAATGTAGGCCCTGAGGGTTAAGCAGTTTTGGGGGAAAGCTGGCTACAGTGGTAAGGAAGAGTTTAGAGGAAGAGGTTTCCTAATTACCGAGAGTTTAACTAGAGGAAGAGATGATTAAAAAAGTGGGTTGAGAGAATATTACGATTGATCTGATAAGATTAAACGTCTGATTAACCAGATGAAAAACTGACCGTAAAGGGGAGAATAAATTAAACGAGATGGTTTTGAGCTTATTGATGAGGTAAATTGGAACATGAAAGATATGTAACAGGCTTTGGGTAAAGGAGGAAAAAGGAAGATAACTATATGATATAGGGTATTTTGAGGTCTTTAGGTAATAGCATACACGCTTAGCATGTTCCATGAAATAGTTTAAGTTGTAGATGAGAAACCACGGGAAGAATTCAGGATAAAGGGATGTTACTCTGATTTTATCTATAGGAAGGAGCTGACATGCACATTTACTCATTTGAATAAAATACATACCATCAGCAGAAAACTGTGAGAGATTGATTTCACAGCATTATCCAGTTTTCAGAATGCATTTAATGAAAAAAACTTGACATTCATGTGATTTGTTTTCATAAGAGCCAAGCATAACTGGCAGTATCGTTTTATTCGTGTGTGCCATAGGCCCATCTTCACCTTTGAGATCTATCTGCCCTCAGAACGTGCGTTTTTATTCGGAGCTGAAACATTTCAAGCCCAAAGAAGATGGACAGAGGCAATAGCTAAGGTATTTAAAGATTGCATTATTCCCCTAAACCCAGAGAAGTTTCTCAACTTGGGGACTACGGTTGAGCTTTAGAGGTCCACGAAAATTTCATACACGATTCTGGGAAGAATGTCCATACTTCATTAGGTTTTCAAAGGTTATAATCAAAGAGGTTAAGGGCTACCTTCCTAGAGCCTTAAGCAGAGAAGAAATTAATATCGGACCCTGGGGAAATTATTCTTCAAATAAAGGTCATGTTTTGATGATTAAGATTTTTTTCATCATTGTAAAGTCGTTTCTGTGAATGTCTTTTTATGAGTAGTTATCTTACTCATGGTATACACAAAGGGGAAAAGGCAGATTCAGTAAAAGATGCAAATGAAGACAGTGAAGGCTGACATTTTGGAAAGTACCACACATCAACAGAGAGAATGTCTTTCTCTTTCAATTCTATATTTATGGAGAAAAATGGTTAAGATGTTGCCGTTTGAAACTGCGTTAATAGCTGTTAATACCTTTAAGATTGAGAGCAAGTTCTGAAAAATTCTGAAATTTAGGTTACTTTTAAATCTTTAAGATAGAAAATCAAAAATAATTTTCCTACCTTTCCTCATATCTGCAGGTAAGGAAGGGATTTCCTATATTCACTCTCTTTCTTACTTTTCTGTATTTGTTTTAACAGCAATTTGTTCCCTTTTTTGCTGAAAACTTAACACAAGCTAATTATGATTTGATTGGTCAACTCTACTACAAAGACTGCCATGCCCTGGATCAGTGGAAAAAAGGCTGGTTTGCTATGGACAAGTCTAGTTTGTGTTTTTGCCTTCAAACGCAGGAAGTTCAGGAAGATAGAATGAACTTAAGAAGACTGCAAGAGCTAAGTAAGATTTTTTTGTCCCCATCTTATATTTTGGACACAATTTTTATTGCATATGTTAATAGCATCTTTTACATAAAATTATATGAGGACTCACTCCAAAATATATGACTAAGGAGTATTAATAATTGTGTCTTTATGTGTATTTAGTGGGTATTTAGTAAAACGTTCTTAAGAAATGTGTTGATGTTTTTCTCTTCTCCCTCTAGCTATCAGCACAATGGTTCAAAATGGGGAAAAAGTGGATATTTTGCTCTTGGTAGAGAAAGGGAGGTAAGTGCGTTTTTGTCTTTGTCTTTGACTCTTTAATAACTAGGGAGTGGGATATTCTGTTTATGGGGGAGAATCCATGATTTTATAGCCTGCTAGACATTTTATGAATTGTGTGTGTGTGTCTGTATATATATATTTACATACTCTTAAGTAGAAAGAGTATATGAGTGAAGCTTACATATTTTTTTGTATTTGCTATGAGAAACTCAGTAACACTAGTTATTATAATTTTCTGTAGACCTAGATGCCTTTGGGACATTCACATTTAAGCATTTGGAAGCACTTTGGTAGTTGTAAATATATTTTCAGTGTAGATATGTGAGGAATAAATAATATCCTGAAGTATTTTTGCATGTGATTCATGCATAGCTAATTTATTCACTTTTTTCAATAAATTCAAAGCATCTACTGTGCATCAGGTAACTGTTGAGGCTATGGTGATGAATAAAATAGACATGGTCCCTGCCTTCATGAAGCATGCACACTAATGGGGGGAACAGAAGAGAAGCAGAAAAGAAAATTACATTTTATTGTGTCCATAAATTTTAACTGGCTTAAAGCAAACTGAAGAGAGAGCAGCTGATGGAGAGTGTTCTGTTTCAGGTAGGGGTAAGGGTAGGCATCTTCTGCATGAAGTGAAGAAGCAAACCATGCAGCAGTCTTCATAATGTTCCAGGCATCAGGTCAAGGCTATTTTGAAGACCCTAGTGCATTGTGCTTGGCATTTTCAAGGTCCACAAGGAAGCTACTGGGGAGATCTGAATGAATAGGAGAGTGGGAAGTAACGATTTCAGAGATACTCCTGGGCCAGATTCTATAGGGCCTTACAGGTCATTATATGTAACGTGACGGAGCCTTGGTGAATGCACATCATTTTGGAGGCGGGGCAGTTGTCAGGAGTAGCCATCCTGGAATATTAAGCTGGTTTACCCAGGGAGTGAATCCAGAAACCAAGAGAGAGTGTCCAAAACCTAGAAAGAGCATTTCAAGAAGGAAGGAAGAGTCAGAAGTGTCCGGTGCTGCCTGATGAGGACAGATACTCCCTGAGTAAGTGGTGCGGACTGCACCTGCTGACTTTGAGAAGCGCAGAGGTGAGAGAGCAGAAACCAACTGGGTTAGGTGCAGGCTAGGAACCGAGTACATGGAAACAGTTAGTGAGGTTAGTTTGTCAAGGAAACTGGAGCTTAGTAGGATTATCGAAGTAGAAGGGATTTGACCTAGAAAGGGAATGTGTGTGCCGTTTGATTTTAGATGGCTTGGAATTGTCCAGCTTTAAATTTGGATGGG